CATACAGTTCAGAGAACAATGGTGCTGTCCATATTCAAGGTGGGTGTTCCCATCTCCATTAACCCAATTAAGAAAGATTCCCCATAGGCATGCCCACAAGAGTCAGTCGGATCTCAGCAACTGTCACTGGGATCCTCTTTCCAGGTGGTTCTTGGTTGTGTCAAGCTGACAATTAAAATTAACCACTGCCACCCAGGCGTTGGTGGCCCACGCCTTTAATCCCAGCACTCAGGAGGCAGAGGCAGGTGGATCTCTGTGAGTTCGAGGCCAACCTGGTCTCCAGAGCGAGTGCCAGGATAAGCTCCAAAGCTACACAGAGAAACCCTGTCTTGAACCCCTCCCCCCCCCAAAAAAAATTAACCACTGCCGTGAATGAGAGAGTGCCTCTATGCAACCTGGTGTCATACTGCTGAAAGTAAAAGAGCCAAGGAAAAAATAAGTAGGCCTAAGCCGATGTGAGATATTCACAGAGAATCAAGAGTGGCATTAACAGATGCCCAGCTACACCATGAAGCTCATGTGTGCTGGAGTCAGGGGTAGCCTGTAGGAGATGCTTTCTTCTCCTGGACATAGGCACTATAATTGACAGTGAGCTGGAGACAAACTGGGCAGGTTGCAGAGATGCAATCAGGGACTGGATATACCACAGATAAAAAGATGGCTGGAGCCGTGAGGGCTCCATAAATGGAGGCAGAAGTGGTACAGGAACCTGAATATGCTAATCTACACCTATGCCATGGAGATGGAGACACTAGCCAGAGAAAGAACCATCTCTAACATTGCCTCAGCCAGTAATCAGAGAACATAGGAAGTATTCTCAACAGTTGCCCCAGCAAGCATGAGTAAATCTAGCAGCCAGGAAAAGACACTAGTCACAAAGGTAAATCGAACTAACTAGGCCTTCCACACCCTTCAGAGCCCCAGTCACACAGAATTCCACATGGAAAGAATGACCCACAAAATACTAGAGATGAGTTAGTAACTTGCAGAGAGGGGTATGGAGTTCAGGCAAGAGAATTCTGGAAGGAACATGAGTCCCACACAGCAGAAAGAAAACAATGACCTAAACTGTCTGAGTAACTGAAAGTAACAGCCCTCCCACATCAGCAGAGACGACCCCCCCGCCACACACACACAAGACATTCAAGAGAGGAGGAGAAACGATCTCCAGCTAAGTTGGAAGGTGTACTAACTGAGGTTACAGTATCTCCTGCTGCATCTTATCTTTTATTTTAGTTTTACTGGTACTTTTCTATTTCACTTATTCTAGTTTTCTTTCTGTTGCTGTGATTTAAAAAAAAAAAAAAAAAAAAAGTCCGAACAGAAAGAACACTAAGGGGAAAGGAAAGGAGTTTATTCAGCTTACAAATCCAGGACATGGTCCATCACTATGGAAAAACACAAGGCAAGAACGTGAAGCAACTAGTCTTAGCCACAGTCAAGAGCAGACAGAAGGACAGCCTCTGTGTCCCCTGTACTCAGCTCATCCTCCCCTTACACAGTCCAGGATTCCCAAACTCAGGGAGTAGTGCCACCACAGCTAGCCAGGTCTTCTCACCTCAGTACAATCAAGACAATCCCCTCTAGACACGCCACATGCCAATCTGACTTAGACAACCCCTCATTGAGGGTCTCTTCCCAGAAGGCTCTAGACTGTGTCGGGTTGATGATTAAAACCATCATGATCTGTTTTGGCTTACACCTTATGTGAACATAACTTCCATGACTTGTCCATCACACAGCTTTTCTAAATACCCTTTCTTTGTTTGTACCAATATTTTCTCTATTATTTATCATGCTTCTAACCCTTATATTAACACTCTTCCACCTCTAGCCCATATGTTAACACTTTCCCTCTGTTTATACTTTATTCTCTCATTCCCCCTTTCCCAACTCTGATTTTACCACTTAGTTACTAATACTTTAGCTTAAAAATATTAAGCACTATTAACAACCTATTTCCCAAACAGTTCCCCAGTGATTCTATTTCTGAAGCAAGTTAACAGAGTGCTGTCAAATTGTTATCTCTGCTACTAGTTGCTTACATTCATACCTTAAGTAACTAATATCTTAGTATACACAGCACTGTGTGTGAGCCTTCACTCCTACTTTGTGTTTAAGGAGTGACTTTTTAAAAATTGACTATCACTATATTTCTATATTGACCCTTTCCATCGCCATCGGTTGTGGTTGTTTCTGAAGACAGTATTCTACCCTGAACACCTAGTGGTCTTAATTACTGAAATATACCCCCAGTCCAATGGAGATATTTAGATGGGTTTGCACTAAATCTGTAGATTGCCTTTGCTAGTACACCCATTTTCACTATGTTGATTCTGCCAACCCATGAGTATGTGAGACGTTTCTACCTTTTAGCTTCATTTTCAATTTCTTCGGTGTTTTAAAATTTGTGCCGTAGAAGTCTTTTGTTTTCCTGGTTTTTCTTATCTAGGTTTTGGTTAGTTCTTTGATTTTGAGGCTAGTATGACTGGGACTGCTTTCCTGATTTCTTTCTGAGCATGTTCACTTTTTATATAGAGGGCAGCTACTGATTCTTGTCTTTTGATTTTATATCCCGCTAATTTGCTGGATGATTGTCATTTTTAAGAGTTTTCTGATAGAGTCTTTAAGGTCTCTTATGATCTATGAATTAACATAATTTGACTTGTTTCTTACTTGTATCCCTTTCAGTTCTTTCTCTCGTGTTATTCCTCTAAGATTTAAATGGCCACACTGAATAAGAGTAGAGAATGTGACTATGCATCTTTTTGGGTATATATCTAAAGGACTCTAAAGTAATATACCACAGAAATACCTACATTCCATGGCTATTCTTGATTGTCAAATACATCTGGAGTTAACTAAAATAAAAATAATATGGAGGGACAATCTGTTAGGGATTTCTGTTTACTTGAAAGTAGGAAGATCCACTTCTAATCCAGATCTTAGTTCGGACACACACACACCTTTAATCTGATTTTGAGGTTGGAAGACACACCTTTAATCTGAGCCACACCTTCTGCTGGAAGCTATGGGAAGCCTTTTTTTCTTTGCCTGCTTGCCCTCTCCTTGCTAGCAAGTCCATTCCTTCACTGGCTTTAGTGACTATTTGTTTAGGATTCCAGTACCAGCTGAAGACCAGCTGAGACATTCAGCCTTGTGGACTGAGCAACTTCTAGATTCTTAAGACTTTCCATTCACAGTTAACCATTGTTGTATTAGTTGGACCACAGCCAGTAAATCATTCTAATAAACCCTATATATATATATATATATATATATATATATATATATATATATATATATATGGAGATGGGGGGCATTCATTCTATAAGTTGTTACTCTAGAGAACCCTGACTAATACACTAAGTGTAATGTTTCTTGCAGCACTATTTACAATCCCAGAGTTATGTCACTATCCAACATGTCCATCAAGAGAAGAATGGATAAAGAAAAGAAAAATACTTATAACATATATTACAGGTAAATACACATACGCCCCAAAGTCTTAAGAGCTTTTGACTGTTTGTCAAACCAAGGAATAAACAACCACACAAATTTAGAACAAAAGGCAAAAGTCATGAAAAATGCTTCCTGAGGATATAATAAACAAATGTCCCTTAATACAGGACATGATGCTCAGCTTCTACGATAGTTTTATTCTGCCACAAAAGCATAAAATTATGTTGTCAGCTGGAAAATGGGTGTAACTAGAGACCACTCCATTACATGGAAAAAGCCAGACATAGAAGGCGCACTCCTTCAATCCCAGCACTTGGGAGGCAGAGGCAGATGGATCTCTGTGAGTTTGAGACCAGCCTGGGTCTACAAGAGCTAGTTCCAGGACAGGCTCCAAAGCTACACAGGGAAACCCTGTCAAAAAAAAAGAAAAAGAAAAAAGAAAAGAAACGAAATAAAACAAACAAAAAACCCAGAAAGACTAATTTTCTCTTATTTGAATGTCTTAGAATTATAGATGCATAATCTCCCAAAACACACACACACACACACACACACACACACAGAGTGAACAAGAGTGTGCATGCACATACACACAGCAAATAGCCAAAAGAATATTAAGAGAAGGAAGGAGATTAAGGTGAGATGGAAAAGTGAAGCTATAAGAAAGGAACAGAAAGACAGTAAATATGGCCAAAGTATATAATTCACTTGAAAGAAATCATCTTTACGAAACCCAGCATAATGTATAATGAATCAACATCAGTAAGAACAAAGAAGAAATTAAAACACCACAAAGAGGAACCCTTTGTCGATGCTGGTGAGAATGCAAATGGGGCAGCCACCACAGAAAGAAGTACAGATTTCTTAAAACCCAAAACTAGAATTACCATATGACTGAGCTACAGAGCTCCCAGGTCCTCCCAGAGATGCTTGCACATCCGTGTTTACTATTCACAATACTTAAGAAATGGAGCCAGCCTAGATGTCCATCACAAGATGAATGCATAAAGAAAATTTAACACACAACGGGATTTTATTCAGCCATAAAGAAAAATGGTATCGTGGCATTTGCAGGAAACAAATGGAACTCCATGCTAAGTGAAATATGACAAACTCAGAACAGCAAAATCTCTCAACTATGGAACTCAGATTTTTAATGTGGGGATGGGGGCTACATAAAACCTGGAAAGAGAACCATGAGAGGGAATGAAGAAATCATAACCACAGAGGAGAGGAAGGAAGAAGAGGAAGTTAAAGAATACGTGTGACATAAAAGCAAGATGGGGGCTGTGAGGTGAAGAAGGGAACCAGCAAGAGGCCACAGGGAAATATGGAGGAGTAAGGACAGAGTGTGCATGGAAACCCTAGAATAAAACCCATTATTCTGTATGCTATATTTTTCTTAAAATTTTTAAAGTTTTTCTTTTGAATCATGAGAAGCAAAGACATGTTTAAATACAACGTGCAATCTGTCTTAATTACATTGTTCTTATTCTAGTTTTGTGAGTGTCTACTAGAAATATTAGCTTTCACATTACCAGAACTGTTGGGATTTACTGAAGACATCACAGAATCTGCTTCTATCTGGAAAAGAGAAAGATTGAGAGGATGTGAAATTTTATCAGATGTCTCAAAGTACAAGTTCTGAATCCCCGGGGTATAGGAAGACATGTACTTTATGGGAAGCCAGCTTTATTGAACCCACAGACAATAACCTCACTTGACATCATGAAGGTCATTTTTCTCATTCCTTTAACATCTACAACAGATGCTAATCTGCCATAATGTCCCCCAAAACTTTACTCCACTGACCAATAGCTTAAATATATGAGATCAATTTGGCTGTCTTATATAGAGTCTAACCTAAAATAGAACCTTTCTGTTTTGTAGAACAACAACAAAAAGTAGTTGTTACAATAGCTTGATTCTTCCATTTTCTGGATGCTGAAAGTACCCCAAGCCAGGTGTGGTGGTTCACACCTATAATCCCAGCACTTGTGAGACTGAGGCAGGAAGGGAGAGACTGAGACTTAATGAGCTACACAGAAAAAGCCTATCAGGAAAAGAAGGGGATATAATAAAACAGTAACACATGATCAGTGCAGAAACATGAAGAGTATAAATTACAAAGAAGACACTTAAAATTCAGTGGATACCACTGTTAACAGTGTGTAGTCTAGCCTTTTGCTTGTTTTTGCCTAGGCAATATAAAATATACTACATGTGAAGTTCTGGGGCTTGCTTTAAGTAAATAAACACAGAAGCATTTCCCTCCCATTGGTGATAGGGGCTTTATTTGTAATCACTAAGGAAACTGAGTTTTTTGTTTGTTTGTTTGTTTGTTTGTTTGTTTTTATTTGGTTTGGTTTTTCCAGACAGGGTTTCTCTGTGTAGCTTTGGAGCCTGTCCTGGCACTCGCTCTGGAGACCAGGCTGACCTCGAACTCACAGAGATCTGCCTGCCTCTGCCTCCCGAGTGCTGGGATTAAAGGAAACTGAGTCTTAATGGCAACTGACAATTTTTTTTTCTGGTGCCAGTCTTGAATCTTTCATAATCTCGAGTCCCCGCATTTCCCTGGCCTCCTCGTGTCCCTTCTCGATGGTTTCCAGTCCATCCTTGTCATGAATTCCCTGCCTACCTTTAAATGCAGGCTTCCCCAAAGCTCTTTCCTTGGTGTGGTAGGATTCACACCCTGCTGAAGCTTCCTACAGAATGCCACTCAGTCTTAGAATTGGAGCTACCCTTTATAAACTGAGCCTCAAATCTACCTCCAGCCCCCATCTTTCTACCCAAATGAGGTTCTTATATTTAAGAGATGAAACCTTGAAATCCCATGCAGTAGCTAACAATCCAATGTACAGGGAACACCTCAATCTCAACTGACTACTCTGACCCATGTCCACCTGTGTTCTCTCCTATTTGGCGATGCTGCCACTCTTTCACAGACAGCATAGCTTGTCTTACCGCCACCTAGGGCTCCTAGATGCTTCACAGAACATTAGCCAAGCTTCTCTAGTCTAAATGACACCTATCATAGCTCCCCCCCACCTTGCCCATCTTCCTAGTTGTAAAATATCTTCTCCATCTTCATGTCTATCAGCTTTCTAAGCTCTACACAAAAAATGAAATTGCTTCAAAGCAGAAACTGTGTTTACATCTTTACATCCCCAGCAACTAGCAAGTACTCTTAATAATAAACATACTTAATAAATTTCATTCTGCAAACATCAATATATAAATGACTTACAATATAAGTTCTTTATGAAATGCTATTGTAGTGTGATGGTTGTTTAAAATAACGATTGAAGATTTAACTAATTCTTCAAAATCACATTCTCTGTGGTAGGAAATTTTTTATATGTCTCATTTACTTTGCCGACTTACAATCAGTATATTATTTGTTCAATCACAGTATTAAAACTTGAATATTTTTCTGAATAATAATACTGAAAACACAGTATTAAAATCTAGCCCTTGATTTAGTATAAAATTTAAATTACAAGATGGTATACATTGGAGACTGGAGAGATGGCTCAGTGGTTAAGAGTGTGGACTGCTCTTACAGAGGACCTATAACTACATGGCAGAACTTCGGTTCCAGGGGATACAGCACCCTCATACAGACATACATGTAAGAAAAACACTAATGGACATAAAATAAAAATAAATAATTTTTTAAAAGAAGCTATACATTGAACATTTCCTCTCTGATAAAAAGCTTATTGTATACATGGCTGGCAGGTGTATAGGTGAGTTGCTATGGCAAAGTATGCAAAACAAAAGTCATCAAATTTCATCAAGTGTACGTACACGACCATACTTTGTACCTGTCATTTCATTCCTCACACAGTCTGCAGTTAAAACAGACTTGAGGGGGACAAAAAGCAAAATGAGGTAAGTTACTTTTCCAAGTGATCCAAGTTAAATACAATGCTTTAAAACATTCAGCCTTTCCAGGTCATCTGCCATGGAACTCCAGTGTGAAATGACTGCCTGTTAGCGGGACAGCTGTAATTTCAGGGCCTATCCAGGCTAGCACTCTGAACTCATAACTGGCAGTTCAGGAGCTGGGCATCTCCAACCTTCGGAATCCCACAAGCTGTCTGCAAAACTTATGTGTGTGTTGGGAGTGGGTGGGGGGGGGCACAGAATATATTCACTGTGGCGTTGTAGTGCACTCAAGCGTACGGAAGGGGTATATCAGGGAGCCCCTGGCTACACTGACTCATGAGGAACAGGAGAGCCCTAGCTGTCAGTTCTGGGGGCAGGGAGAGCATTCTAGGCAGATGAGTGCTGCTTCCACTTTATGGTTGCAGTTTACCCTTTTGAATTTGGACAGTGTCTCAACTCTGCTTAGTTCCGGTTCAGCAGCTTAACAAGGATGGATCTGTCTCTAGACTGCTTATAACAGGCAAGCGAAACAGCACAAAGACAGCCAAAAGCAGGAAACTAGCTACTAAAATAGGAGGTTCTAGAGAGTAACAGCCACAATGTTTCAAATGCACCCTCCACGATGGAAGAAGCGTGTAGAAAGAAGGTTAAGTGGGGGTGGTGAGCTGTCATGCTCATTTCTGAGCAAGACACTGTTTCTGCACTCTTGGATTCACCACAGATGTGATTACCTGTACAAGATTGGGCCTGTCAACGCTCTGCCAGGGAAGGGGGGGAGACTCATGGGACCCCACCCTCCTTGATGATTTATTTATAGAGTTAACAGTTGGCAGAGAAAGAGAGAGACATTTTCTTCAGTGGTGTAGACCCTGGTAAGGTGTCCATATCCTTGTAAACAAACCCTTAACCAATGTTCCCATAAACAACCCTAATGAAACTCACTAAGTCATTGTCTCTCCTCTCTCTCTCTCTCTCTCTCTCTCTCTCTCTCTCAGAATAAAAAGTAATAAAAAGTCAAATATATATATATATATATATATATATATATATATATATATATATATATATATATATATATTCCACAGTATATATATATTACTATATATATATATATACACATATTATATTCCACAAAGACATAATCTCTCTCTCTCTCTCTCTCTCTCTCTCTCTCTCTCTCTCCCTCTCTCCCTCTTCTCCTCCTCTCTCTCTCCCTCCCCCACCCACCCCCACCCCAAAGGATGCTCACTTCAACAATGCTTGCAGGAACTGAAATTAATCCAAACAACAACAAAAGGTAAATGGAATAAAGAGATTACTATACAACTATTTTTTAAAGGCGATAATGGTGTGTGCTTTGGAGTTGTTGCAAATGTGACTTATTAAATGCATTTTAAAATAAAACAAGTATGCAACTAATATTTTCAGTAGAGGACTATGACTACACACGTATGTAGAATACAGAAGAAACTGGTTATCTCCTGGTAAGTGGGACCCTAATCTAGTCGAAAGAAAAATGATTTTGTAGACTGTATGAATGTATTACTTTTAACAATTAAAGAAAACCACCCAGAAACTCTACTACACATATCAGCTAGTAGTTGAATTCCTCCTATTACAACACCACTCCACCTTCCAGCCTATCCTCTGCCATCCCATATTTCTTATTAAATTTAGGAGACTCGTGATGTTTTGTCGGCTCCATTGGCATAGATATCTAATTCATGCCTGAGTTGGGTCTTTCTGGGAGGGAATATCCAGCACCGGAGACATCTTAGGAACGGCTTATAAATCAGCAATTTGCTCTCCAGATACCAGAAGGAAGTCCCGGCCAATTTTCTTAGGACACGTTTCTATAGCTTTATCTACCCCATCCAAAGAAGGGAGAAAAGAGGGGAAAAAGGATGAGAGAATAGGAAAAGAAGGGGGAAGAGACAAAATTCTAACCTTGGAGGGTTTGTATCCAAACAGCATTACAATAGCAACCTTAAAGTCCTCTCGGCTCAAGTGGCCTTTGTTGTCTTCATCACACGCTTTAAATACCTAAGGAATATTAGACATCTACAATTAGCCAGAAACACAAACATCTAAAACTCAGTCTGGCTGTGGGACTTCTAAAATGCGCTCTCATTACCCTAGTTTTAATTCTCAAGCAATATAAACGCTGAGATGAATGATCGTCTCTCTGGCCCCCCACCCCCAAAGTTAAGCGTCTTCATCTCTACACTAACAAATCCATTCCTCTAGGTTTATTTCAAACCACGCACAAGTCCTGGGATTCGGGAGGGGATGCAAAGAGGGTGGGAAGAGAGAAGCCAATGTAGCTAGAGATGCAGTGGGTAATGGAAGTGATGGAGTCTTGGCGGCTGTGACTCCGATTAGAACCCGGCTGAGGGAGACCCAAGACAGAAGTGGCCCTGTTCAAACTGAGTCCGAACTCGGGTAGCGCTCCTACACCTACTTCCACCCATTTCCTGCGTTCCGAGGCGCTGGCTTCGCAGGCCCGCGGCCTGGGCCCCCCCACAGACGGGAACATCGCCACCAACAAGACACCGACAGCGCCCAGAGCAACGCAACGGAGCACGACTTCTCCAGGGAGAGCACCCACAGCCCGCCGCGGCCACGCCCACCGCCGCTGGGACTCAACTTGGCCGCTCAACTCCAACGTCCCCTCCCATTGGCCAGCCTCCGAGCCACTGGTGTTGATTTCGTTGTGTCATTGGTCGAGGGCGCTGTTTAGCAACGGGAGGCTACCAAGGCCCGCCCCCAGGCCTTAGCTTGGTCCCTTCTCGGTTTCCTTGTCTTCTTCAACGTCGCTGAGGGAGATCCGGTGACTCCAGATTCTTCTTTTACATCTTCCTATTGCTTTCAGGCTTCGTGCCGAACTCCCTTTGACTGTCTTTGACCCACGTCTTTTCTAGACTTTGTAGGAGGCACAGGAAGAGTGCGAAGAAAGTACACACACACACACGCACACACACACACACACACACACACGCACGCACGCACGCACGCACACAGAACTCCAAGGTACATTTTTAAATCGAGTCATTGCACGGCGTTCTCAGGGCAGCCACTGTGCTTACTCTCGCCCTCTTGGTAACCACAGCATTTAACCCTGTCTAGGACAGTTAAAACGAAATGACCCCTTAGAGTGCTTACACAGAATTTGCAACCCCCGGGAAGCAATGAGGCTGCCTCAAGGAACCGCGCAAGAATCCCACAGCGTGGACTAGAGCGTTGTTTTCCACGCCCGTTTCAAAGGAGAGTCATTTGAAGTTCTGGGTTTTATGGGAACTCATTTAACTTTATCCTGCGGAGAGCGAG